GTATATATATACACACACACACACACACACACATATATATATATATATGTATATATATACCTCAGTGTTTGTAACCTTCTTCGTCCACCCATTTTTGTACGTGTCCTGTCTATTTCGTAAATCATGCTGAACTGCAATGGATGAATGCCCCCAAAATCCGATGCTATCGAATACTGCGACACTCCACTTGGTCCTGAATCTTCTCCGATTAAAGGCATTCTCATTTCCTGATTTTTATTTTTGGGTTACTGGATTATCAGGTCCAAATTTTAGGTCCCCCCCCCCCTGAAATGTGGCTGTTTATCCACTCTTGTACCACTTTTTCATTGTTATACTTTTTCATTGTTATACTTTTTCATTGTTTTACTTTTTCATTGTTATACTTTATCATTGTTATACGTTTTTATTGTTATGCCATTCTAGGGCGAGAGTGAGAAGAGGTTATTGGGATGTGTATTCAAGTTCTTTAAGCCACTGATCAGACAGACGCTGCAGCTGGGCGGCACTCTTACGCGAGGGACGGTATGTACTGATTGTCTATACTTTTTATATACTCACAATAAAGTTTTCTCAGAGTATTCGTAATTGTGTGCATATGCCCCCAAATCTGAAGTATATTAATTTGCGACCCCACTTTTCGTATCAGGAACGTCACAAATTCGTCGTGGAAGCCATAGACCGCCTGGTCGACCCCACCCGACTCTAGACCAAACTCACCAATAACCAATCTGTTTTAATTCCATTTGCGATCCCTTTATTCGTCTCAGGAATGTCGCAAATTCTTCGTGGAGATCATGGACCGGCTGGTAGACCCCACCCAACGACAGACCAAACTGACGCGCGCAGACATTGACCTACTGTACACCCTCGCGGCCGAGGGCTGTGGCGAGATCATCGCCGAGACTGAGAACTCCAGCACCACACAGATCACCTACATTGTGCACAGGCTGTTCACTGTGGTGTCCGTGTGTGTGCAGCAGTTGATGGCAGCAGACACACAGCCGAAAGTGGGCCACGGCAGTGAGGGTGGGGCGAGTGGCCTGGCTGTGTTTAACCGCGCGGCTCCCGAGTCGGAGAAGGGCCCCGGGCGGAGTGTGGTGGGTACGTGACGCTGGTTGGAGGGGAGCGTTGCATGGGATGGGATGGGATGGCAACACTCGTCATGTACACTCGTCATGTACACCATGTACACCATGTAACCATGTAACCATGGTAACCATGTACCCTTCAATGGGCAGTACCACCCTGGGTAAAGAATGCACGCATACTCACTGACTGTAGTACGGTCACCAGGTGTATAGGTGTATAGGTGCATAGGTGTACAGGTATATGAGCTCGCTATGCGCTTGCCCACTAGGACTATATCTGATGCAGCCATTCGACGAAGAATAGAACGTCACGAAATGGGTTCCGTAGGTCTATGTCTCCACACAACAGCCGAGCCAAGGCGTGTAGACACACGGGGTCGTACTAGGAGAGTGCGTGGTCGTACGATGTCTGATAGGAGAGTACGTGGTCGTACGATGTCTGATAGTAGAGTGTGTGGTCGTACGATGTCTGATAGGAGAGTACGTTGTCGTACGATGTCTGATAGGAGAGTACGTGGTCGTACAATGTCTGTTAGGAGAGTA